CTGACAGAGGTGACAGGGGTGACACAGAAGGGACAGGGGTGACACAGAGGTGACACACAGGTGACACACAGGTGACACAGAGGTGACACAGGTGACACACAGGTGACACACAGGTGACACGGGTGACACAGGTGACACGGTGACACGGTGACAGTCCCACCTGCAGCACGTACTGCCGGGGGCCCAGCGTGAACTCCTTGCCCCCCAGGACGAAGGTGACGTTGGGCAGGGACGGGACCTTGTCACAGTCCAGCAGGTACTGGGGAGGGACACGGGCGTGGGGACACCGCCCACAGGGGACACGGGGGACCCGGGGGGACCCCCACCCACAGGGACACACAGGGACCCCCGCCCACAGGGGACACGGGGGCCACGGGGGGACCCCCGCCCACAGGGACACACAGGGACCCCCGCCCACAGGGGACACGGGGGCCACGGGGGGACCCCCGCCCACAGGGACACACAGGGACCCCCGCCCACAGGGGACACGGGGGCCACGGGGGGACCCCCGCCCACAGGGACACACAGGGACCCCCGCCCAAAGAGGACACACAGGGACACCGCCCACAGGGGACATGGGGGACCCCCACCCAAAGGGGACACACAGGGACCCCCGCCCACAGGGGACACGGGGGACACGGGGGGACCCCCGCCCACGGGGACACTCAGGGACACCGCCCACAGGGGACACGGGGGACACGGGGGGACCCCCACCCACAGGGACACACAGGGGCCCCCGCCCAAAGGGGACACGGGGGATCCCCACCCACGGGGACACTCAGGGACCCCCACCCAAAGAGGACACACAGGGACACCGCCCACAGGGGCCCCAAGGGGAACCGGGGGATCCCCACCCACAGGGACACACAGGGACCCCCGCCCAAAGAGGACACACAGGGACACCGCCCACAGGGGACATGGGGGACCCCCACCCAAAGGGGACACACAGGGACCCCCGCCCACAGGGGACGGGGGGGACACGGGGGGACCCCCGCCCACAGGGACACTCAGGGACCCCCGCCCAAAGGGGACACTTGGGGACCCCCAGGCAGGAGGGACACACAGGGACCCCCACCCAAAGGGGACACGGGGGGACTCCCGCCCAAAGGGGACACTCAGGGACCCCCACCCAAAGGGGACCCGGGGTCGTGGGGGACACTCGGGGACACTCAGGGACCCCCACCCAGGGGGTCCGAGGGTTGTGGGGGACACTCCGGGACCCCCAACATCCACCCAGGGGTCCAGGGGGGTCATGGGGGTCACTCGGGGACACACAGGGACCCCCACCCAGAGGTCCGGGGGGTCGTGGGGGACACTCAGGGACCCCTAACGCCCTCCCCCCAGGGGGCCATGGGGGTCACTCGGGGACACTCGGTGACACTCGGTGACACTCGGGGACACTCGGTGTCACTCGGGGTCACTTGGGGACACTCAGGGTCACTCGGTGACACTCGGGGTCACTCAGAGCCCCCCCCCCCGGGGGTCCCGGGGGTCCGTACCTGCCCCCCCGGGGCGCTGGTCGCCCCCAGGGCCCGGTTGAGCGCGGCCACCTCGGCGCTGGGCCCGGTGACCAGCGACGTCCCCGTGTCCACGATGGCCTCGCAGCCCCCCCCGCACAGGGGGGGGTCCCGGCACCCCGCGACCCCCGGAGCCCCCACCGACAGCCTGGGGGGAGGGGCGCGGGGCACTCAGGGGGGGCACTGTGACAGTGGCATATTGACAGTGACACAGTGACAGTGACAGTGACAATGACACAGTGACACAGTGACAGTGGCAGTGACAATGACACAGTGACACAGTGACAGTGACACATGGACAGTGACACAGTGACAGTGACACAGGGACAGTGACAGTGACACAATGACACAGTGACAGTGGCAGTGACAATGACACAGTGACACTGTGACAGTGGCATATTGACAGTGACACAGTGACAGTGACA